ACTTTCCTAAATCTCAGCTTCACTCTCACTTAGGCATTCCGTTCAGGCCAGTTGTTGAAAACAAGAGCCATATGTTTTCATACTTCTCAATCCTGGAGTTTGAGGGGTTGTCTCTCCCCCCTAATCACCTACCCTGTAGCCCATCTCCTCATTTATTCCACCAAGTTTCTAGTTAGATCTACGAAACCATTAATACAGTAAATGAGCTCCCTTGCGAAATAAACCATAGTATAAGCATGATAGAAGAGCCTAAAGTAAGTACAACCTCATGTTATTAAACTTTTCCTCCCTGTTTGAAGAAGTTTTATTTTGTGAAGTTGCATTTCAAGGTCAGTTACATGGGACTGTACTAGAAGACAAAACAAGGCCTTTGATGTCAATGAAGGTTTTCTCCACCCCTGTCTTTCTAATCCCAAATAAGTAAGAGGACATATTTTCTTTTTCTTTCTTGCTTTTTTGGGGGAGTGAGTTGGCAGAGTCAAGGATCACAATGCAAGGCAAGTGCTTTATAGCATAGCTACATTCTATGCCCTGAGGAACATCATTTTTAAAAACTGATTTTCACCTGACTTTTGAGAAGGAATAATACTGTCTACCCATAGTCAAGGATTTTATAGGTACAAGAATCTAGATAACTTCACATTGCAGAAGTTACAAATTTAAGGTAAATTTTTAGAATTGAACACGACACGGCTTTAATGACATGTCAAGACAATCTCTTGTTTCCACTCATTATTCTAAATGAACATAATAGAAATGTTTGGAAATACATTAATATTTTGGTAGGTAAAGGAAACTCTAGGGGAAATAATCTCTAAATGCTAATGTTTGATTCAGCCTTCTGGTAATGGCCATGGGCATTTGGAATTAAAGTTCTATTGGGAATAGTCTCAATAGAACATATGCAAAATGATGACTTGAAAGTAGGGCTTCACTGCAAAAAAACTGTTTCACTTGTGACAAGATGGGACACATGATAAATTCAGAAAATCAAATATGAGGCTAGGAAAATCTGAATGTAGGGGGCCAGAGAGTCTGGCAGTCAGGGCCTACCCCGCAGCCCATCTCCTTGCAGCCCATTGCCTTGTGCATGTCCACCCTGTTTCATCTCTGGTAACCCATATGGTCACACTTAAACCTTACTAGCAGAGATACCTGTGTGACGAATCAAATATAAGCCCCAAGCACTGCTGGGGTTGGCCAAAACACAAACAAAAACAAATCCAAAAAATATAATCTTGATTGAGAAATTTGGGATATAGACTGAGATAATAACGGTACATACACATCGTGAGTCATTGTCATGGCCCCTTTAGTATATTCAAGGTAGATATTTCTATACTTATTTATGTTTCCCAGATCCTAAAATCTGGGAAAGGTGATAAGATATCAGTGTTTTGTGCTGATGTACTTATACTTTCTCAATATAATTATAAGTTTCATATTATACATATCCAGTGTCAACAAACTCATTGCCTCATGAGATACCATAACTGTAGGATATTTTCCATATGATTAAGTTAAAGGCTACCTGTTTTAAACAAATTCCCTTCTATTATCATCAAGAAAATAAATAAACCAATAAGCAGGTAGCAGGATGGTTGTTTTAAGTTTAATTCTTTCAAAGTGAATATTTTTCAATCATGTGAAATCAATTAAGTCTAGCTCTGCAGGATATATACTCCCAGGTCTCAGACATGGATTTAGTGCCCCCATTCTCTCTGTGAGAAAGAGGCAAAGGATATTCCAGGTGTGAAATGAACAGTGTAAAATAGAAATTATTATTGCTTTCCATTTTTTGCACGTGAACTTCCAGTAATGTAGCCTAGGACAGGATTATGGTTTTGGCAGGCACATCCTCATGTTGACTCATGCTAAACTTACCCCCAACTCAAACCATCAGGAAAAATTTTTTATATATTTGTTATAAAGTCAAACGTTCCACATCCTGTGTTTATTCAGTTCATTTTTTGGACGGAAAGAGTAAGACTTTACATTTATTCCTGTGAAATTTATTTATGTTTGATTCAGTCCATTGTTCCAGATGATTCTGTCTCTGGACATATTATCAACCCCTGCAGTTTCTTGGCATTCATAATCTGATCAACAGGCACTAATATTGATGCCAATGCTCAGCAGGCTAACATTAAAAATAATCTCTAAAGGAAAAATTTACTCTTGGCACTTACATTGATAGAACTCTCCTGAGCACTCTCTAGGTACAGTTTTCCAAACAGCTATGAAACCTTGTAAAGCTGTATCATCTAGTGTATATATTTCTGTATTATTCACAGGATATCATGAGACATGGTGATTCTAGTATCCAGACAGGAGCATTACTTTTTGTCTTTTTCAGGGGTTAGAACAAATGGTTGGAAATGTCAACCCCGAGAGAAAAAGGATTATTTTCCTTAGGTGAGTGAGAATGGGCAAGGATTTCTCTCTTGTTTACAGAGAAACCATGCCAGTAAGATGGATGCTTCTGAGAGGGCATATGAGGAAAGATTATAATATAGGTAGACTGGTTCTTTAGTACTCTTAGATAAAACATCTATGTATCAGTTTTAGAGGCTAAGAAGTTCTGGTTAAATCCTGTTCTTCCACATCAGTGACTTTCAGGTTTTAGAATGCCAGAATCATGTTTGATTTAACTGTTGAACACAGACTCATGACTCTCACCACCAAGATACTGATGCTGCAAGTCTAATGCCGGACTTTTGGCAATCTATTCAAAGTGATTTTTCATTTGGATGGTTCATGAAACACTTTGAGAAAATGTTCCTTCACACTAACTCAGGTGGCTCGATTTAGAGGAACATCTTTTATTTTATTTTTTTGTCACAAACTGATAAGAGCTAGTTTAGCAGTGTACAGTACACATTTTATTTAATCACTTTAAATTATTTGAACAAGGGATATGTGACAGGATAAAATAAGTAAGCCAAATGATGGTTTGAATCATCTTACGGTAACACATTTCAAATCTTAACTTTGTGCAGTTTGATACATGATTTCTCATTTCATTCTCCTTTCCTATGGCCATGCCACAAAGAGTGATATGTTTGTTGAGTTCTTTAGGAGTTGTGAATTGAATTCCGATGGATGATGGAGAGCCAAGAAATGGGACTCCAGGGTTGGGACCAGGGCCAAATGTTCAGCCTCCACCTCCACCCTGTATGGCTCTCAGCCTCTGAGCTGTTGAAATGCCCTGGTCATTAATTCTATAGCACCCAACCATAAAATCAACTCCTTCAACTTCTCAGATAGGGTTGAATCTATGCTGTCTCCAGGAAACTCCCATCAGATGTGTTTTATGTGTTCACGTGTGGGAAGTGGTCTAAGTGGAAGCTAATAGTAGAGCTATTTCAATATTTGACCAGACATATTTTAAGAAAATTGGACCCGAAGTCTATGTAGCCAGCTGAGGCAAATTTACAGTCCTGCTTTTAAGAACAAAACTCCCTCAGGCACTTGCTTCCTAAAGGCAAGACCCAAAGGAAATGAACTCTTGCTTAAAGACAACCTCTTTATTTTATGGGTTATCAATTTTCTCTTGGGTACAGTCCCCCAGCTACTAAGAGGCACCCCCTCCCCTCTCCCAAAGCAAGAACTTGGTTACAAAAAATATGCTGTCTTATTCAGGCCAACGGCCCAGTTTCCTGAGGAGGAGACACAGAAATGTTTTCCTCTGTAGCAAAGTCAGAGCAGCATATATGTAGGATGTGGATGTGCCACTTAGATCATTGCCAATAAACACTAGAATCTTAGCCTGAATTACACATGACACAACAGGATAACTGAATCATCGGTTCTGAAGGAGAAATCATTCGTGTTGTTTGGGGGAAGCTTTGTGAGGTGAATAGTCAACAACAATGTAAAGCACCTGATTTCTTTTTAACTGCGCCACTGACTCTGGAGCTGAGCTTATTCACATCTAAAAATTGTGAAAGCACTAAATAAGGTTTTTTGGGTTTTTTTTTTTACTATGGATGAAATCAGTCTTCTCAACAGGAATAAACCACAGGATAGAAGTCACAGGTTAACTATAGCTATTCTGAGTCAGCTTAGTGCTAAAGAACAGTATTAGTATGATTTTCTTAGTACACATACTAGATCATTAATACAAATACAAGAGCAGACTCTTTAAAAACTATAAGAATTATGATTACTAATAGGAAAACTTGAAAAATTTAATTTTATACATGATAAAGTCAGTATAAAATACTTAAGATTGGTTGTCTTATTAAGACTGCAGTCATTTTGTAAGCTTTGCTTATTGTGAATGTGAATAATTTTTAAGGGAAATATGAATATTCAATTACATGTTTCAAAATCAGACATTTACACATCTACTTGGGATAAGTGCCAGAGTTAACATCAAAAATATGTGAAGGACCTCTTGTCCAAATGGAGTATTAAGCTCCTCAAACAGGAGAATGTATCCCTTGCAAACTGTCATTATTTCAGTAAATGAAAACGGCCCTTTAACAGATGGGCAGCATACCCTGTAACTTGCTGATAGGCTAGTAAGAGACACTGATTTTTAAAAAATGAAGGACATGAACTTCTCAAATTACAGTTCCCAAATGGAGCTGGCAGAATAAAATTAAGAAGGTATATACCAGCTTGGCAAAAATTAGGAACAGACTACAGAAATCTGAGAGTTCTAAACATCGATATCAAAAGAACCCTTTCATTAAAAGAAAAACTCATTGAAAATATTGATATATGCTTTGAGAAAATATGCATTGATATAGTCAAAATGGGGTTGCACGTTATGGAATTATAAGTTTTCATGTAATGAAACAACGAACTTTCTTTTCAGAAATTAATTAAAATTCCCCAGAAAGGCTGCTATTTTTTTTTCTAACAGGCACCATTCCTTTCTCTGAACTTCTGTGTTTCTTAAATTAAAAATTTCCCCAATTGATTGATGCAACAACCAATTTAAATACACACCATGGGCTCAAATAAAATAAGAGTGTGGCATATCCGCTCACCTCTCACGCTCCTCTCGCATTTTTTCCAGTTCCTCTTCTCTAAGGCCACCATGCTTCAGAGTTCCCTTTTGATCAGCCTTTCCACTCTTATCGTCTTTCTTCTTTCCAAATCTAATGAAACAAGATATTTGTGAACAATTATCACATTCTTTGGGGGGGGGCAAATTTAAAGGACCTAAGGGACAAAGTCATTAAACTATAATCATTCATTCTTAGGATTACAAGATCATTTTTGCATAAAACAACAATAAAATATTGAAAGCAGAAAAATAATATAGATAGTAAATTCCCCTTTTCCCTTCCCATCTGATTGTGCAGTATGCACACAATCATGTGATTAAAAACTAAACATTCCCAATCATTAATTTAATAGAGATTACAAAACTGAAAGGTTAGAATTAATCTATAACTAAATACTGACTGGCCTCCGAGGTGATCTTCAGGGCTCCAGGTGGCACTGATATTAAGGTTCAATTTGTGGTATTATAAGGATGGTGCTCTAAGGAGCCTTACCAAACACTTGGTCCAGTGATCCCTATTTAAAGAAACTACAGTCCAGAAAGGTCTTGGTCAAGACCTAAAGAGTTCACAACACATTTAGGGCCTGGCTGGGAAGAGAACTTGGGTCCATTCTACGCTGCACTGGTTTCTTCAGGCCATGTTCACTCTCACATGCAATTTTGGGTTCCCCAAACTGGGCCAGGGTTATTAGCAGTACTCCTTACTGGCACCCCCAGTGTATATCTCTGTTTTTGTTTTAGAGCCACACCTGGCAGTGCTCACTTGGCTTTCTCCTTGGTCTATGCTCAGTGATCAGTCCTGGCAATGCCCCCTGGCCACATGGCATGCCAGGATGTAACCTGGGTCAGCTAGTACCCTACTCACCTTACCTGCTAGAGTATCTCTCCGGTCCCCTGTTCAGCATATTTCTAATTTACTGAGCATGATGGCAATTAGGGTAGCTCATCCTTCCTAGATTTACTGAATATAATGATAGATGACATTTATATGTTTAACGTATACAACATATTTTTGATGCATCCATATAATGCAAAAATGATTACCACCATTGTATTAGCTACCACCTCCAGTCCATCACAGAGTTATACTTGTATGTATATGTGTGGGAAACATTTCAGATTTACTCTCTTAGCAATGTTCAAGTGCATGATACAGTATCAGCTATGATCACCATGCTTGATATGAGAAACTCAAACTTCCTTATAACTAGAATTTTTACCCTTTGACAAATTATCTCCCCATTTACCTCACCCTCAAGTCCTATTAATAATTATTTTTGGTTTTCTTACCTTGTTTCATTTAGATTTCATTTATGAGTGAGGTCATATAATATTTGTCTTTCTTTGACTATTTCACTTAACATACTATAAAGAAGGTATATGCAAATTGTTGAAAATGGCAGGATTTCCTTCTTTTCCATTGTCAAATAATAGTCCATCACACATTTAATAAAATATATATAATGAAACAATACCTTTTGTTTATATATTAATATATTGATTGACACAAGTAGCTTCTGTATTTTGCCTATTATGAGTAATGTAACAATAAAAATGGATTTGTTGAGTTCAATAAGATTCTGATTTAAATTCATTTGGTTACTGAAGAAGAATGACTAGATCCTACTGTACCTCTAGTTTTAATTTTTTGAGGAACACCTATATTTCTTCCTATAGTTACTTATTTTTATTTTAAATAATAATACAAAGGGAAACCTATAACTATTATACTTTTGAAAAACATCCTTCTTCCTTAGCATATTCAGGAAAGCAAAAATTAACTATTGCATTTTAACCTGCAATTAAATAACTATTATGCCAAATTTTTTATTAAAGGCATAGTTTTCATAATATATATTTTAAAGCAAATTTTCCTGGAGCAAAAAAATGAATAGCTTGATGTTGAGTTAATACTCAGAGAGAAAGTCACTCATTTATGCATATTCTTTTGTTTAGACAAAGATTCTTAAAGCTATTAAAAAATTTATTCTTTGTTTCTTATTAGACAGGTAGAAATTTTAATTCTATGCATATAGGAGATTGTTAATATTCAAACATAAGTCAGATTTTTGATATAGTCAAGATTTCTCTTTTATCTATAAAAAAGTACATACCTGAAAATGTATTTCTATAAATACATTCTTTAGCATTCCAGAGCAATGCTGAAGAGTTTTCATGATAAGCATTTTTCTCTAAATACCATTATATGAGAAGTTAATACCTTGTATATTAATTAGACAAATTATTTTTTAAAAAACCTGCCATCATATGTAGTAATATCTGGGTAAAAGTAAAAATTGTGGGGTAGAGTAATGCTGTAGGAAGTTGATGAGGGGAAAATCTTGCCAAAGATCTATAAATATTATGCTTGTTTTTCCTACAAGTTCAAATATTTTATTCTAAATTTGGAGGCTTGGGATTTTATCTGAGATGAAAGGAATCTTATTTTTGAAGAGTTAAACTAACCTATACCCCAGTATACCTTATCTTTATTGCTTCAACTGATAAATTGTTTTCCTTCCTGAAGCAAAAATATTTACTTATACTGAAATTCAAGAATAGCTTACTATGCTTTCATCATGGTAGAATATGTTTGATCAAATAAAAGGTTAGTTGTAAGTAAATTCTACAATTCATTTTCTTCTTGGAAAGAAGCACTGTTAATAGTCAAATCAACCAATTCCACAAATATTAACATACTTTTATTTAAAGTTTACAATAATTTAATAAAGTTTCCAATGAGGAAGGCATAATAGCTGTGAAACTTATTTCATTAGACAAGCAAGAACAGTTACAAAATTATCTTATTTTATAAAGTTTGGGCTCAAAAATAGAATTATAAAACAGCAATCTTCAAAAATACTCCCACATTGTTAAGCTGAGGAAATTGAGGCCCAGATAAGTTAATTACATTTTATTTATTAATGCACTGGAATTTTTTTCAGTTGTGCAATCAGATATCTTATTACTGGTGGTAGAGATGGTAGAAGTTGGGAGAAAAGCATCAATTTAGTGACTTTTACAAGTCATTTCCATAGCAGTCTATTGGGGGTAGGGAAGAGAGTGGGGGTCATTTTACAGTCATTTTTATGTTCACTGTCAAAAAAAAGATGGATTGAGCAGATCCAAATACATTGATTCATCTCCCCATCAGTTATTTTTTTTTTTTTGTGGGAAAAGTCACGAGGACCCAAAATGGCTGAAATGATGGCTTTGAGTATGAGGGTTTCAAATATCCACTGCATTCCAGGCATCCTATTATCTATTACCTTAGAAATTTGAGAGTTGACCATTCTGGGCTAGGTGCCTTAAGGAAATTGCTTACAGGTCAGCCTTGTTTTATATAAAAAATATTTTCCCAAAGAATTCTGTGAAAACATATGGTTTTAATCAATAAAATCTTACTTTCCATGTACCTGGGAAGCCTGTTTAAAGAACCCTATGATGGATCTTTCTATAAAGTGGAAAAATCACCTTTCAACATACCCTTTATGTAAATTTAGATTTTCATGAATTATACGTTTCCTAAAAACACCTGTCCCTGTTCATTCTATAGAAAGGCTATATGAAATAGGTTCATGGAAAACTACTTTGCATGCTTGCTTCTTTTTTCTATTATTCATGTGTTTGTTTAAAAATATTAATTAGGTGTCTTTTCTGTGTTTGACATTGTCATAAGCACTTGACAAAGGTTGGTACTGTATTTGGATACAAAATCAGACACTAATAGGATTAATCTAATAGAGGAAGGAGGCAATCACAAACAAGTGAAAATGATAACTGTAAGTTGTGAAAAGTGCTTTGGAGGCTGTCAAAAGAAACAATAATAAGAAATTGGTTGGGAAAGACTTCAATAAAGGAATGACATTTATTTGAAAACCATAGGAATAAATGGTTATACAAAGATGGGTGATCGGTCATCTTGTGGGTAAATAAAATGGTATATGGAAAGGGTCTGAGCTAGTGCATTGCAATTAGCGAAAGATAAAGTAGCTGAGCAAGGAGAACACAGAGGATACTCACAAATAGTTGAGATGGGAAGGAGAAGAGGGAGCCTTAGTGTAGGCATGGAGTTCAGTTTAAGAGTCTAGAGGTCATCTCTAGCAACTCAGAAAAAGGACCGAGGTAAGAGATCTGATAGATTTGGAAAATTTGGAGAATTGGTGGAGGAGAAACAGGGAATAAGCAGGTTATTTTAAGCAGAAGTGACAAAATACAATGCAACTTTAAGGATCATAAGGCCTGCGCTAAAGAAATATTGATGCTCTGTGTGTAAGGCATGGCAGCAATAGCACTGCACTGTAGCACTGTCCTCCCATTGTTCATCTATTTACTCGAGTGGGCACCAGTAATGTCTCCATTGTGAGACTCGTTGTTACTGTTTTTGGCATATCGAATACACTACAGGGAGCTTGCCAGGCTCTGCCATGTGTGCGGGATACTCTTGGTAGGTTGCCGGGCTCTCTGAGAGGGACGGAGGAATCAAACCTGGGTCAGTTGGGTACAAGGCAAACGCCCTACCTGCTGTGCTATCTCTCTAGCCCATGGCAACAGTATACACATAAAATATATTACTGCTTGAACTCTGATCTTCAAGTAATAATATTACATAAAACAACCAAAATCAATAATAACTCACCACTCAGGTAGCTGAAATAAAAAGTAGCAAGTAAACGCTGACTGGGACTACTACAAACACATTGGGGAACTAGAAGTGGTAGCATAAACTAGAAAATAAACAGCTGGAAAGAGAAGATAGTGATTTGAAAAAAAGTGACAGAAGATAGTGGTGGATCAAGGGAGAGTTCTTGAAAGTTCACTTTCAAACATGGATATTTTAGTATGCATGGGGAATCCAAATGAATGAGTCAAAAATCAAGACTATTCAAATTCTTAGGAACTGTAACATTTAAAGGTTGGATGGAGGGCTTGGATGTATAAGAGAAAAAGAATTCTCAGAGATATAGGAAGACAATTAAGAGAGTGAAGAGCACAATGTATGAGAAGAATGCGGCATAGCGGACACGGTCATCAGGGCCAACAAGGTGGGGACACTACTGAGGCATTCAGTGAGGTGAAACTGAAAAGCGT